AAAAAAAACAAAAGGATAGTTTTTTTTTCTTGATTAGGGGAAATAAAGATTTTATTGGAGTCGCCATCTAGTAATTTGAGGGAACTAGAAATCCAAAATTAGACACTGGTCCCATAGATTCAGGTACTGGGTTAGTTATGATTAAGGGAAGGTAGACACCACTCTTAAAACATCCTTTCAGAGAAAGGTTACCCTTACTTGTGTGTTTTTCATTTGATTCAAATGCTATTATATTTTGAGCTTATTTGCAATTTTTTTAAGATGGCTAACGTCGGTCCCTAAAAATAGGAGACACGTTAAAAATGACATCGGTCCCTAAAAATATGAGACACGTTAAAAATGACATCAGTCCCTAAAACTAGGAAACTTTGTCTAAAATATTGACGTTTGTCCCTAAAAAGGAGAGTTACGTCTGATTTACCAAAAGAAATAATAATGGACATAATCCATATTTGATATTTAAATTTTTTTGACATTGGTCCTTTTCTGTAAATAAAAGAGACGTGTCGACAAATAATATTTATTTTATAAAAAAAATTATTTTGATATCATTGAGAAATGGGTATATCCATTCTTGAGAATCGGGTTTTGACCCATGAACAGTAACATGATAAAAATGGGTGTTGGACCCGCGTCATTATTTATTTTAAATTTTATTTTTGTTTTTCTTATTTTTTTTACATGCAAAAATTTACAAGTATTTAAATATAAAAATATCAAAAAATACCATAAAAAATCATAGAAGATTACCTGAGTGCCCCTGTATATGTAAATATGTAAAAGACTAAAATACCCTCGGATTTCTTCAAAATTTATGAAAATGCCACTGGCGGCGCATGTGGCTCACGCGCGGCTACTGTTGATGGCGGCAAAATTTGTCCGATGAGATTCCGGCCAACAGATGGTTGATTCTGGTAGATCTGAGGATGAGGATTCTGATGGTGGTGGTCTTGACGGTCGTTGATGGCTGATGAGGGAGAATCGACGACTTGAAGTTCGGTTGGCCGATGACTGTCGCGGCCTTTTTTCAGCCAAAATCGCCGATGAAAACGTGTAAAACAGCCGGGGTTTTGCTTTAGAGGAGGCAATGCACCTTTCTATGGTGGTTTCGTGGCTTAAAACGGCCGGAAATGGGAGATCGGAGAAGAGAGATAGAATCGCTGGCGAGAGGAGAGAGGGGCTCTGAGTTTTGATACAGTGTGGACGAGCGTATGGTGCACCGGTGTGTCTGAAGCCTATGAACCGTTGGATCGCGCATGAACAAATCGTGCGGCTGTGATTGGCTTGATCTGCAAGTTGATCGGACGGTCAAGATGGACTGGGCTATGATCTAGTGTGTCGCGGTGTACCGAGTGTTTGGTACACCTGATGACGTGGCGCAATAGGATCAAAGGGCAGATTATTTTAAAAGGTGAGATGGATTTGGGTTTTAATCCGGTGTGATAAAGCCTATTGTATCCTAAGAAATCAAAGGCTTAGATTTAAATACTATTAGATCTAACGGTTGGGATATTTTTGGTATTTTTCAAATTATTTTTAAAAAAATCAATATCTTGCTAGGGTGAAGAAAAAGTAAAAAAAATACGTGAATAGTGTCAAATAGTAAGCGCTCGAATTCAGAATTCGCTTGTTCTCGGTTATGTCCCCTCCTGTGTCTTGGTTTCATTAGCTATTTATAGCCAATGAAAGGGGATAGCGAATCATAGATTGTGCAGGTAATCACGGGATTGTGCAAAATTTTCAATGTAAGCTGCACTGCCTACCATAGGCAGAAATGAAATCCTCCACCTACTATGACAAAATTGAATTATTATTTTTTTATTTTATTATATATAATAATAATATTTATTTATAGGGGTAAAATTAAGAATTCAAATCAGTATTATAAAAAGCATTTCAACCACTAAAATCAATTTTAATTACAAAATAAATCTTTATACGGGTATCAACTCGGTGGACCGGGTTTTTTTTTACTAAAAATATTAGTTTTGACCAAAAATAGCGTGAAACTTATTTTTCATCCCGGTCCACATGGTAGGACCCGTATTGACCTGGTGGACTTAGTTTTGACCCAAAATGACGGTTTTGACCCGAAACAGCCCGAAACTCATTTTTCATCGTGGTCAACATGGTGGGACCTTTATTGACCCGGTGGACTCGGTTTTGACCGAAAATGATGGTTTTGACCCGAAACAGTCTGAAACTCATTTTTCATCGCGGTCGACATGGTGGCACCCGTATTGACCCGGTGGACTCGGTTTTGACCGAAAATGACGGTTTGGACCCGAAACTCATTTTTCATTGCGGTCGACATGGTGGGACCCATATTGACCCGGTGGACTCAGTTTTGACCGAAAATAACGATTTTGACCCGAATCGGCCCGAAACTCATTTTTCATCCCAATCGACATGGTTTAACCCGTATTGACCCGATGGACTCGGTTTTGACCGAAAATGATGGTTTTGACCTGAAAAAATATATTTTAAACTCTTTCTTCTTCTTCTTCTTCTTCTTTTTTATTTATTATATTTTTTTTTTGTTATGAATAATAAAATCATTCGAGAAAATTTTAGTGAATCCAAAATTGGGTTACAACAAGCGAAACCATTGTTTAGGAAAAGCATTGAGTTTTAGCATGATTAGACAATTTATCTTTACAACACTTACTACGCGAAGCGCTTGACAAGTTTTGCTTCGTAAGTATTGTAAAGAGGGAGTGTATCTCATGTTTGCTAGAAAATTGACAAAAGCGGAAAAAAAAAAAAGGGGTTCTGTTGTTGTTGCAATTTTTTTAGAAAGAAAAAAAAAAAAAAAAGGGGTTCTGTTGTTGTTGCAATTTTTTTTCTTTTGTTCCAACTTAGGCTCTGATTCTGACTTGGTTTCGTACGATATCTGACCATCCTAGCTATATTCTGTCACTCATGACATGTTCAAAAATTGACCTATACCTTTATTAAGTCCTAGGATCATTGTTCTTAGGGCAGATTCTCAGTCAAATTTGGATGCTTTAGCATTGTCAGATCAAGAACCTTTTTGACCAACTAGATTACTATCAGATTCTGTTCTCTAAAATGATTTTATCTCACTTCGACTCCTTCATCAAAGTTGTAGTGCTACATGCGTAGATGCATTTTAGCTTTTGAATCACTTCATTTTGATATCAGAGGCTCAAGATATTCCCGTTTGAATATCTAACATGAAGGCAAAGAATTCTACCGCGAGAAGGATATTGACCCGAGTCTGCACTAAAAAAAACTCTATTTTTGGCCTAGTTTTTGTGATTTTTGTTCTTAGTTCATACTCTCATTCATATCAAGATTCTCGACATTTGTCAGTTTTTGAGTTAGACCCGGAGATCCCTTTCAACCAACCAAATCACTGCTAGATTCTGTTCTTTAAAAAGATTTTATCTCACTTTGATTTCTTCATCAAAGTTTTAGTCCTAGATATGTAGATGAATTTGCGCTTTTGAATCACTTGATTTTGATATAAGAAGGTCAAGATATTCCTATTTGAATATTTAATGTGAAGGTATAAAATTCTACCGCGAGAAGGATATTGACCCGAGTTTGCACTAAAAAATTTCTATTTTTAGTTTAGTTTTTGTGATTGTTGTTCTTAGTTCACACTCTTAGTCATATCAGGATTCTCAACATTCGTCAGTTTTTGAGTTAGACCCGGAAATCCCTTTTGACCAACTAGATTACTCCCAGTTTCTGTTCTGTAAAATGATTTTATCTCACTTTGACTGCTTCATCAAAGTTGTAGTCCTACATGTGTAGATGAATTTTAGCTTTTGAATCACTTGATTTTGACATCAGAGGCTCAAGATGTTCCCGTTTGAATATCTAACATGAATGTAGAGAATTCTACCGCAAGAAGGATATTGACCCGAGTTTGCACTAAAAAAACTCTATTTTTGCCCTAGTTTTTGTGATTTTTGTTCTTAGTTCATACTCTCAGTCATATCAGGATTCTCGGCATTTTTGCCCTAGTTTTTGTGATTTTTGTTCTTAGTTCATACTTTCAGTCATATCAGGATTTTCGGCATTCGTCAGTTTTTGAGTTAGACCCGGAGATCCCTTTCACCAACCAAATCACCGCTAGATTTTGTTCTTTAAAAAGATTTTTTCTCACTTCGATTTCTTCATCAAAGTTTTAGTCCTAGACGTGTAGATGAATTTGGGCTTTTAAATCACTTGATTTCGATATCATAAGCTCAAGATATTCCTATTTGAATATCTAATATGAAGGTAGAAAATTTTGTCGTGGGAAGGATATAGCCCAAGTTCACGGGACTGATTCGATGGATTTTTTTCTAGACCAAGGACTTAATCAAAAAGTGTTAAAATGAGGGATTGAATTAAAGAAGGATATTGAAAGCTGGAGAGAGGGGCTAGATCATCATAAATGACAGGATTTTTACCACACCGAATAAGGAAAATAAGACTTTACAGCTGCACCCTCCATCTTATTTCTTTCCCTTTTTCTCTATTGTTTTCCTTTCTCATCACATCTGATTGTTGGAGCTGAAGACCACATTTTTGTTGCCTCATTTCAAAGGGAGCAGCTGGCCCTATGGAAGGAAAGAAAAGAGCCACACCATCCTCCAAAATTGGAAAGAAATTAGATGTAAAGCACCACCATAAAATCAGAATATTGCAGTTTTCTTTTGCATTTTTTTACTGCAAATCAGTAGGGATTTGTGTCCTAGGATTAATGCATTGAATCCTTCTTAAATAGAGATATGTCAGACTATATATAAGCCCCTCTAATGACCTAGGGCGACAGAAAGAAGGAGAGATCAAAAAGTGGCAGAAAAATAAGAAAAAGAGAGGACAGAAGGGAGAGGAATGAAAGCAAGAAGGGAGCAAAAAAGAATGAAAGAAAGAAAGCAGGAAAAAAAAAAAGAGGTGTCACCGTAAGGGAAAAGAAAAAAAAGACAAGACGGAGAAGGGGTTTTGTTCTAAAATTTGACAGCAACGCTTGCTTGGTTTTATTTCATCTTCTACAGAAAAGAAAATGATGAGACCTGCAGGTAAGTCTTAACTTTCTCCTCCTTTGCTGCCTTTACTATTTTGTCTTTGCTTTGCGTGTTTGTTTTTAATTTTAGACTGTACAATGAATGCTTCCCTTGTATTATTTTCTGCCATGGTTTTGAGTTTTGGATGGGTGACTGTTAAGAGTTAGCTAGCCTCTAGTTTTCTTGCTTCCCTTGTGTTGTTTCTGCCGTGATTATCTCCTTTCTTTCGCTGTTTTGGAATTAAGGAACGGGGGAAAGGGGCTGTTGTTTTCTTCATCAGCAGCTCCTTTTTCTGTTCATGTCCTTCCATTATTATTATTTTTTATAGTCGGCCAAGCCTGTTTTGCTTTCTAGTCCAAGATATATATATGCTATAAAAGCATGTCATTCTAATTTCTTCCTTTTTGTATGAAATTAGCATGGTAGGAACTCCCATATTGTAAAAATTTAGTCATGAGTCATGGTCACATGCAGTAGTATTTTGATTTTAAAATTTCAGTTTCAAAACTTTGGTTCCCTCATGCATATGGGTTTAGTCATTTCCAGTGTACAAAATCTTAAGTTGATTTGGCTTTGAACGATTTTTGCTATGATTTGTTTCAAGCTTCTTGTAATTCTTGTAACATGAATGATGGTTTGCTACTTTCCATTTTGGTGTTTATTTCTACTCGTGATGTTTGCATTTTAACAAAAAATATATAAAAATATTTTCTTGTGTGTTGCATATGGCGAATACCCTAACATGTTTTTTTGAATTTTTTTTATACAAAAAAATATAAATATCGAAAGTTTTGAAAATGTGTTTTCGCATGGATTTCTTAAACACAAAAATTATTTA